GGGTACCATAATAACAGTAAAGCTCATGGCAGAGAAATTGAGCGCAGACCAGTAAAGCAAAACACAGTTAGAAACTGGAGCCCATAACTGTCAGCATTGCTTCACAGTTTCTTCTGAGCCCAGTCCTTGCTTAGGCATGAAATACAGCTCCTTTATGTTCAGCCTGTGTTGACTTCATGGCCTCGTCAGTAATGCTTTTATTTTAAATTCTTGTCACCTCTTGTAATAAAATTATTTTGTTATTTCTTCATTTTGCTGGTGTCCTATTTCCCATTTTCTATATACTGTACACTTTCATAACAAGCTTTGCATATCTGAAGGACTTCTTTATACACACTTGATAGGATTTCTAGGCACTTCAATTAGTATTTTTGAATTTTAATTCTTTTATTATATATTTATATAGATAAATAAATCAAATAAATGTCTTCAAGAAACTAAACATCTCAATGATGAGGCGCATAAATTTAAGGTAAATTTCTCTGTTCCCCACACCCATTTTATTTCATTTCATTTTGTATATTTATTTATTTAAGATATTTTTGCCTTTAGAACATGTGCACTTGCCAGAGACAGAGGCACTAAGAGGGAAAGTGAGAAATCAGCCCCAGAGGGGATAGCCTTAGCATGATCTCTTCTCTATTTTTCCTCCTGGGATCCTGGACAAGCACACATATACATCCAGCATGATTTTCAAGCCATTGGGTCTGGAACTCACACTGTGGTTGGCCAAGTGGGAGTCCAGTAACTTAATCACTACACTGTCTGCTGGCCTGTTTTATTTATTTATTATTTTGCTCAAAATATGTTACAAAAAAAGAAGTAAAGGCATCAATAAATTTCTCCTGATTTACTATGCTTTGTTGAAGGATAACATCAAAACTTTTGACGGAACTATGAAAGCTGCGAACAACATCATTCAGGGTACACTATCTAGGCTGCATACTGAGAAGGATCGAAATGTCAAGACTCAGGATTTGGTAAGAATTTGTCTGCTACTTTTTATTCAAGCTTGGTTTCTGAGGTGTTTTGACCAGTGGGCAAGCTAAGCTCTGCATTTTCTCTTATCGTGCATACAGTGAAAGTGTGAGGCTGCTGGGCTGATAGTTTTTTTCTGAAAATGTTCTGACATCGATGTATAACAGTGCAGTGACTTTTAATATTAAGGGCCTAGGAAGCATGTGTTAGTTTTACAACCTGGATGGTGATCACATCAGTACTGTCCTCTATTATGTAGAAAATCTGAGAAAATAAACTTAGAGATGAAGATCTCTAGTGAAGCTTAATTGTCCCTGCCCGCAGTATTAACCTTATTTTCCTTTTATGCGTTTTGGAGCATCTTTTCTTTATCATTATTCTGTAAAGAGAGCTATTTGAGCTCTGAAGCTTGAACTGTTTTCTGCCTCTTTTTTTTTTTTTAATTTCTTTCAGTGTGAGGGGGTATATGTGCTCATCAGACAGAGAGAGAAAGCCCCATTGGGGAGTGGTGACATGACAGTCCTTTTCCTCCATTTATTCACCATTACTCAGGATTTTCAGCAGGCACACACATGCATTTGGCATGTTTTTCAACTGGCCAAGGCTTGAATTTGAACTATGGTTGGCATTGTGGGATCTGGCTTCTGAAGCGTGCAGCATTTAGCCAGTGTGCTCTGGAGTTGGCTCTAGCTTGAACCATTTTTCACATTCTTTGCTTTCCTGTTATTATTCATTCTTTTACCTATTATCTCATTAAGCACCAAAGTTATAGACAACAGATAATACTCATACCACAAAGTTTATCCTTGTTACCCATTTCTTCATCTGCTTGACATTTATAACCCCAAACTGATCAACTATTTTCCCATGAAAATAGAGGCAGATATGGGATATATTCTGTTAACACTTGATTTGTTTCGCTAACTGCCCAGTCACATGTTTTGTTTGTATCAATGTGCAGATGCTAGAAGAGGAAAACTCTATCCAAGCCTTCAAAGATGCTCTTTCAATGAAAACCTCAGGGGTTGGGACCAGCAGTTAGTGTAATGGCTATGTTGCTGGACTCCCACGTAGTCGACCACTGTTCAAGTCCCAGACCCAGTGGCTTAAACTCATGCCGGGCGCGTGTGCATGCGTGCCCAAGATGCCGAGAGGAGAATGGAGGAGAAGGGATTGCAGCGTGGCCATCCCCCCTGGGGGATGATTTTCTGCTTTCTGTCTCTCTGTCTGGGAGCCCCACGTGCCCTATAGAAAAAAACCCCTTCAAAAAAAAAAAAAAAAAAGAAAGAAAGAAAAGAAAACCTCAGGAGTTTCAGAGGTAAACTACCTACATTTGCTGCATGGTTCCATTTTGCATCTTAGTTTTGATGAGGAATACATGTTTCATGTCTTAGAAGATTAAAATCATGTGAGAAGTATGTGCAATTTTTGTTTTTGGAATTCTGTTTTTGTGAGTAGTTTTATGTTGTCCTTAATGGAGCTAGGAACAGAGAAGGGAGAATGAGGTGTGAATAGCAGCAGGCACTGAAGGAGAAAGCCCTGCTAAAGATCAAGATGGAGCAGGTGACAGAAAGTCACTCCCATTCATTACTTGAATCAGAGACCAGAAAGTTCTTATTACTTCCTTTTAAATGGTTTATTTTACTTTTTTTAAATTACTTTCTTTTTCTTTTTTGGAGAGATTTTTGCTATAGGGCACATGCGCTCACCAGACAGATAGAGAGAGACAGAGAGACAGAAAGTGAGAAATTACCCCCCAGGGGGGATGGTCACGCCACAATCCCTTCTCCTCCATTCTCCTCTCAGGATCTTGGGCATGCACGCACACATGCCTGGCGTGAGTTTTAAGCCACCGGGTCCGGGCAGCGAACCGCAGTCGACTACGTGGGAGTCCAGCGACATAGCCATTATGCTAACTGCTGGTTCCCTTATTTTACTTTTAATTGTGCTACTACAACACTATTGAGTATAAATTCTATGGTAAAGAAAATTAATTTCTAATGATTTTTAAATGTATATTTTACTAGTTTTAAGTATATTCACATTGTTATAACAATCATTTATTCTTAGATGTCTTTTGTTGAATCTATATTACAGTCAGGAGACATAAATGACCAAGTAAAGAATTCAAAGATGAGAGCCATGAGGTTCGCTATAGATAACCTGGAAGGTAGGTTTTTTGCGGGGTAAGAAATCTCCATATCATGAAAATGAGTTTGTGCTGGGAAGATAAAGAGTGGCTTCCTGGATTAGAATCATGGCCTCTTCTCACCCCATGTTAGTCCTCTGGTCCATGTGCTCCCACATGAAAACTGTTTCATCCTTTCCAGAAAGGAAGAAGGACATGGAAGAAACCTGCTCTTCCCTGAAATCTGCAAAAGCATTAAAGGAAGTGCAATACAAAACACTGCAAAGAAAAGTAGAAAATCTCTATGACATCTGCGAAGGACGTAGGAAGGCCGCAGAGGAGTAAGATGTTTCTGTGTTCATTGAAACAAATACTGCTGAGTAGAATATATGTGTTGAGCAGACTACTGTAACATATTTTAGAATCATTTTGAAAGTGTGCATCCCAAATTCAGTTAGTACAATATTGTGCTCATCCTTCTTGCTTTGGTTTCTATAATTGACATTTTTCCTTCCTGTCTAACTGGCTGTCTTACATTCTTTATTTCTTTCATAATGCATCATATGCACACATAACAGACAGAGAGACAGAGACAGAGAGGAAGAGAGAGGAACCAGCAGATGGCACAATGGTTACATTGCTGGAGTCCCATGTAGCCATCTACAGTTTGAGTCTCAGACCTTGCTGCCTAAAATTCACAGGGTGTCTGTGTGTGTGTGTGTGTGTGTGTGTGTGTGTGCATTCCCAAGATCCCAAGAGGGGAGTGAAGGAGCAGAGATTGCACCATGGCCATCTCCCCTCTTGGGGGGTAATTTCTTGCTTTCTGTCTGTCTGTTTCTCTCTGTCTCTCCATTAAGGACACACACCCTATATCAAAAATATCTCTATTAAAACAAAAAAAGAGGAATAGAGAAAGAGAAAGAAAGGGAAAAGAGCACACTCAACTCAAGAGAGTCTGGCTATACAATGATTCCTTTCCTCTAGTCATTATATCCATTAGTTCTTGGGCACTTGTGAATAAGCCGGGCATGTTTCAGGCTAAAATTCAAAATGATGTCACTGCTGAGTCCCAGCTCCTCTTCAGTGGTGCATTACTGCTGCCACACAGTGTTGACCCATACCCTCTTGTTTGTAATTATTTTAGGGGCAGTGGAGACATTGATACCAGCATTGCTAACTTCTACATCTTACATCTGGATACCCTCTGGGTCCATTTCTATAGTCATTTACATTTTGATCATATTCCACTGCCCTGCTAGGTATTCTGTTATTTTCTATTCAGTGCCAGACATGGAGTGGACAGTATTTAGAGAAAAATGGAGCCCTGCAGAAAAGTTGGGAGTTTTCTTCTAGCACATGATCGAGGCTTTAGCATTACTGGATCCCCTTAATCCAGCCTTCACTCCAGGCTCAGTTCCAACAAAAGCTAGCATATTTTCTGTCTACATTATCCCTAGTGTGAAATTCTTCTTGGTCCCAATCAAAGCCTGTAGGTTTCACAAGGGATCACCTTATTGACAGACCTTAAATTCCACTTGTTTTCCTTCCTTTTTTTTTAGAGTTTTTTGTTTGTTTGTTTGTTGTTTTTGTTTTTGTTTTTGCTATAGGGTGCGTGCACTAACCAGAAAGAAACAGAGAGACAGAAAGTGAGAAATTACCCCCCCAGGGAGGCAGGCCACACCACACTCCATTCTCCTTCATTTTCCTCTCGGGATCTTGGGCATGCATGCACATGAACCCAGCATGAGTTTAAGCCACTGGGTCTGGGATTCGAACCGTGGTCAATTACGTGGGAGTCCAGCGACATAGGCATTACACCAACTGTTGATCCCTCCACTTGTTTTCATTCTAGTGCACACACGTGCACAAAAACTACTCAACTTCTTTAAACCTCCAGTGTCCACCCAGAATTCATTGATGAGACAAGGGAGAAAAGGCCCAAATGCCCAGCTGGCCCAAATCCCATGTTTCCCTCTTCACTGCTTCATGTTTCTACACTGGCTCCTTACCAATTCATGCATTCAGTTATGGGTTCCATCTGTTGTCCACTGTTTCTTCCTGTTTGTAGGGGTGATCAGGGGCTTCAGATCTACTCATCCCTATTCAAAAGCAAAAATCTGCTGTATTGTTCCTCAAAGCTCAGGTTTTGTGTTAATCCTTCCCAAGCCCAAGGAAGGGTGGGGCTGGATTCCTATTTCCCCAATGACTTCCTTTGTGCATTGAACTGTAGCTGTTTTAAGAAGGAAATGGTGCCTGCTCCCCTTTGTGTCCTCAGCACTACACCACACACCCCAAGGCCAAGAGCCACTCCAGAAAGCACTGACTGAAAGATTGCCTGGGTGACCAGAAACAAATGCCTGGACATCCATCTACAGTATTTTTGTCCCTGTTTCCCAGACATATTTTAATTTCACATGTGAGCTATAAAAAGTCAAGTGATAAGTTGAGAATCTTTTGAATCAGAGCCATGAACAAAGTCATTTGAGAATAATAGCAAATGTGATTATTTAGCCATTGCTCTTTTTGCTTTTATTATCACTGGAGTCAGCCTTGTTAATGCAAAGCCACACTGAGGCTGATGGTTTTTCGGTGGAAATGTGTTTGCAGGAGTTAACAGCAGGAGCTAACACCCTTGTTATGGAGCTTGAATCACATTTTATTTCAGTAGATGTTGCCAGCACTGAGATCTGCCTCTCCTCTTAACCAGGATCTTTGAAGGAGGAGGCAGGAGTTCCATACTGAATTGTAGAAATGTCAGGGAGTGAAGCACAGGGTGAATGACACCAGGACCTCTGGAAACTGACTGTCTGTGTGGAGCACTAGCTTTTACTGAGGGCAGCTCTCTCCATGGCATGAGGCAGACAAACCCTCATCTGCTGCTCCACCCTCTTATGTGTAGTTGTGAGGAGCTGGGTCACCCTGCTTTCCCACATTGAACTAAAATGAGTTTTTACTTTCTCAACAAAGAGACTGATCAAAAAAGACACTAATGCTTCTCATAGATGCTTTTATCTTAGCTGACTTGCATAGTATTGAACAGAGCACAGAGCCATGAAGAGAAACTTATGTTTAGCAATTACTTTCCCTCAGACCAGAGTTTAATTTTTCTTAGTCTCTCCTAAGAGACTTCTTTTTCCCACTGTCAGAGTTTGTCATTCTGTGCAGTTATGGGGAAGTTTGAGAAGGGACTTTGAATCAAGACCTTAGAGATGGCTAGGAGTTTTACAAGAGCCACTGGATAATGTGTATTTCCTTCCCATTTTAGGAAGCTATCTATGAGACGACATGAGCGGGAAGAGAAAGAAAAGAAACTGTCAATGGCACGTGATAAAGTCAAGTCAGATAATGAAGAAATACTGTATTTAAAGTGAGTTTAAAAACTGAACATCAGCATTTAAGGCAATCCTCATTGGACTTTCTAGTATTTTAATCTTTATAAAATAATTAGACTCAGTTAACACAGAAATATAAAGAAATGCTCAAAAGATTTTTCACACACATGCACGCTTTCACACAGAAACAGAGAAAAGACTGATGGGGGAGGGGGGAAAGCAGAAATAACTGAATAATGTTGAGTTACTAAAAATTACTGAACCCTAGAGCTGGTTAGATTATGCAGAAGCTTGGTTCACATAAATATTTTTGGGGGTGTTGAAAATAGTCTGAATTCTTAGGAAAGCAATTTGATGTAGGCTAAATCATGTCCACAAAAGTGATTGTTTCATTTTATAACCCAATTGTCATTGCCCTGTGAAATATCATAAAAATGTAAGTTCAGGGAGAATAGAACTTTGTGATCAAAGATGCTCAAAAGAGGTTATGTACAGAAATATTGATAAGAGTTAAGAAATCTTATCAACTGGGAACTCTGCTGAATTCCATAATGGATAAGAAAACTATACAGCAATAACTTTAAACCTACTGTACTCTTATTTGTGAGACATGTACTATCTGCGGATAAGTTGTGTAAAGATACAGTTGTGAGGAACATGGGATGATTATTGAAAATGATACTCAATGTTGTGCTTTGTCTGATGAAAGCAATGGTTTATCATAGGAAAAAAACTGGGGAAATTCAAGAACAAGTGCAGAAAAAAGAGAAGCGCCTTCAACAACAGGTAACCTACATTTTTTTCAATAGTTTCAGAATCCTCCAGCACCTGAAAGAGGTGGTTATAATTGCCCTTAGAAATTCTAAACATACTGTGCCCTGTGTGTTTTCTTTTTCAGATCATCTTTTATGAACAAAAGATTAATGACACCTGGGTAAGATTCTTTTCTTTCCTTCATTCTGTGCATAGTCGGTCACAACTGCATATGGACATGTTTCTCTCCTGCAGCTCAGAACTTGTGCCGCAGACAGGGCAGTGGCAGAACAAATCAGAGAGGCTGCCTACTTGAAGGAACGGTATGACATTGGGACATTGGAGTTTATTTTTTATTTCTCCAGAGAGAGAGTTGGCCAGACAGCAAGAGAAACACAGATTCCCTCACAGGGTCTTCTTGCTGCTATCTACACACCCAGACTAAGCCACCAAAGTTCATGGGCATGTGTATGTCTCATGTGTACAGTAAGATGTTGGGGTGTGAACTTGGGACCTTCCCATGTGGCTCTACCATCATAAAGCGTTGTATAAATACTGTGCCCCTGTGGTTGGCCAGTTATGGATATTTTTGACATTGCTCTTAGTGTTTTAACATTAAGATGTTGAGGACTAGTAAAAGGTTTCACCTTGCATATCCATTGAGAAGAAGAACCTAGGTTATGGAAGTAAGCATAGGGTCATGAGGAGGGGCTTGCAGGTAGAGTTGGTATGAACTGGTTTGTGCCTCATTGATGTTGTGATTCTTATCAATCTCATTCTTTATCTGCAAGTTTGGCAATAATGCAATATTGGAGGATCCCAAAGGGACCCAGGATGTACCCAGCACCAAGGGGTTCCGGCATGGACAACCCTGCATGGAAAGGTAGGAACACCCTGAGAAAGCGACAGCTCAGATCCTGCTGCAGAATACATATTGTTTCTGGGGTGACTGTGATACTGCTAACCTCAGGTGCCGCAGCCAGATGGCTCTTTGGGCCGGCCCTGTGAATGGTGGTGCTCAGATTCCACCACTGACTGTGGACACCAGAGCTCCACCTCTCATTTATGCTTCACTGAAAAGTGTGCCTAGAAGGAAAGTGGATGAGCTCTTCTATCCCACCATGAGTCAGTGGTGAAGGCTTCATCACACTTTACTGTTGTGCTTGGAACAAACTACATCAACAAAATTTCAAAATGGAACATATAGGTTCTAGTGAGAGGATTTTTTTTTAAAAAAAATCTATCCCACCATGAGTCAGTGGTGAAGGCTTCATCACACTTTACTGTTGTGCTTGGAACAAATGACAACAAAATTTCAAAATGGCACTTGTAGGTTCTAGTGAGAGAATTTTTTTAAAAAAATTGACTTCCTAGATTGTCTATTGTACATGCCTGCTTTAATAAAATAGACATTTATTTTAGAGGGGTTTTTAGAGATTTTTTTGTTCTTTATCTGTTTTGATTTTTTTAACTATAAACTGTAGAACTCTAGTAAATTTAATTCACATAAATTCACTCCTCTGAAATTGTGTATTCTGAAATCTTTACAGTTAAATTCCATAGCACTATCTTTTTCTCATTGGTATCATTATTAGTCTTATACGTCCATTTCTGTTTATAAACATTTACACAAAACCTTATCTGATATGGAAGGCAAATTATATATAGACCAAGAAACAAAAAGTACACTGTGGCTTGAAGAAAGACTGGTGCTATTCTTACCAGGATTGGTTGATACCCATCCTTTTCATGGTTCGTCCTTTCCATGGCTGTTTTTAGCCTGTGCTTAAATTGTCCTTTTACCTCATGTGTAGTAGGAAACCCCTATTTTAGTGTTGATTTCCAGCTAGTTGGAGCCCTGATCTATCTGCCAGTGGATGGTTTGTTTCAAAATCCCCTAAATCAGGGTTCTGCGATGCCTTTCTCACAAATCAGGGCATGGGTTTCTCCATTGTCCTCATGGATCATCTGAGGCATGTGATAAACTCCCTGCCTCAACTAAGGGACCGTGTATGTAAACTAGAGTAAGACAGTGAGGAAAGGCATGCAGGGGTTATTATTCTACTGCACAGAAAGTATAAGCCACACTAAACCCCAGACTTATCTGGCCATAGGAAATCCTGTACGTCGTGCATTTCCCATGGAAAGCAGCTGCGTGATCCCTCCTGAGAATGCAGGAAAGGAAAAGGTAAATGCTGAGACCCTCTCCACTGTGATGATGTCAGGAAACCTTAACTTTTCATGTGGTACCTCTTCCATAAGAGCCTACAGAATTCCTAGCTCTTTGGAATCTTATGGCATCTCCAGAAGGTTTAGAGGCTGAGGCCTGAGTTTTTACTTCTGCACATGCAGTGAGAAGACCCTATGTTAGGGAGGGAAGCAAAGGGCCATGAGGGAGGGACTGGCAGTCAGAGTTAGTATGGACTGCCTTTCTGCCTCCTGTGAACTGTATGAACTTTTTCTTCCCCTGGGAGTCACTGGTCTCTTGGTGTCAAAGCAGATCATCTATTTGGTATGTTTAGGTCTTTATTAGCTTGTAGAGTTCTGAAAATCAAATAGGACATGAAAGACCCAGAGAAAGTTTTCTTCAGAGTAGCTGTTCTTACATGAAGGGAGAATAGACTCTTTCTTTGCTCTCATTTCTCTGTTAACTTATTGGTAATGAGTATCTGTGGTGGTGGTGGTGAGGGAGAGTTGGGACTTGTCCTGGACATACATGCTCCTATGTCTGGAATATGCCCTGTTATTAGTCTGAAGTTGTCTTATTTCATCCATTGGGACCGATCCCTAGCCTTTCCTACATGGGTAGACCCAGGTCATGACATGTGGTAAGAATAGTTTATTCCTATGACTTCCCCTCTCTCCCTTAGTTTTTGCCAGGACTCAGTGTAAATGAGACATTTATGGCCATTATGAGTACTGGTGGAAGGGAAGGGGCCAGGGACTGTCACCTGCTTTACTTTCAGCTTTTGTGTTGGTATCTTTCACTGTCATATGAACGTAATTTGATCTTCTTCTCTGCAGATCAACATGGCTGGCAAAGGGCCCCCTCCTTTCCCAGGAGTGCCCCGGATGCCCTACCCCAAGCAGGGCCATTTATCATCATTTATGTGTCCTGGGCCACTGCCGCCACATCCACCACCTCCCTGTCCACCACAAGGTAAGATGATCTGAGACTGGTAAGCTGACTTGGGAAGGCATTGTCATTTTTGGAGTCAATTAAGAAAATTAGGATGTGTGGCTCTTAGTTCCAGGCCCAGGGTAGAAAATGTTGAGTTCATGCAAATGTCACAGATGGTGCTGCAGGGCTTCACAATCTAGCTTGCTGAATACATTGTAGCTCTTCTCGGGTTTCTGAGGACAGCATGGACTGCGTCTTCTTCCTAGCATGGGGTGGCCAGTGGCTCTTCTCTTACAGATGAATAAACAGGTTCTGTATTCAAGAAATAGTGGTTTTGTACACATGTAGGGATCACTGGCCACATGTGCCAGTCCTGTGAGGGATTAGGCACGTCCCGACTTCTAGAGCTACAGATGTCCTAGGTGTGACACACCTAAAGTGTCACAGAGCTTGGGATCACCAGTAATAGAAGCACCAAGGGAGGGCAGGGCCCTAGAGTACAATGTGGGAGAGTGAACGTCCTGGTATTAATCATGAGAGAAGACGAAGTGAGGAAGCACCACGTGGGCATGTGTTGGCCTCAGTGACACCTGGAGATCTACATTTGAGATCTAAAGAGAAGATCTGAGACCTGGGAAGGAGCTGGAAGGCCTCCCTGGCAGACCAGGCCTGTAGGGCAAGAATCATGGAGGCAGCATCAGACCCAATTAAAGTCACTGGGAGACAATCCAGATGATCAAGTGTGGGCCGGGGAATGCCCCCCCCCACCTCAATCAAAGTCAAGTGCTTAGTCTACAACCCTGCACCTGTAATCTGAAGTAAAAATGGTTGGGTCCCTCTGATGTGCGAAGCTTCTAGATCAGTGTGAAAGGGGCCCAGGAGGTTGGGGGAAATTTCATGTAGATTTTCCAGAAGAATCTGTCTTTTTGAGTTTATGCTCTGGTGACACTCAAAGCAAGGACAAGTCTAGTCTAGCAGAGTAGTGACCCTGTACTTTTGAATGAGGCCAGCACCAGTGGGGAGGTTAAGGATGCTCCTGAGGTGCTGACTAGGTGTCTGTCCCCACTGCCCCACATTCTCCCCTTACCTCCCTGCCTCGGCTACACACAGGCATGTGCCTGTTACATTCTGCCATCTTAGTGTTGATGCCAACAACTCATGGGGCCTGCTCTGACCCTCAGTTTTGTTGCCTATGACATGTAAACACTGATTAATTGCTCTCAGTGTTGTGAGGAAGAGCGAAGGAAGCATAGTGGGAAAGTATCTCCCACAATGGCCGGAACTCAGTGGGCACCTGCCTTCTCACAGTGTAAGTGAAAACATTTGCCCATGAATTGTCTAAGGATGTCCATTGCAATACATTAAACAAACCTAAGGGTGATCGGATTGGACCCGGAGACTGGCAGGCTTGTTTTCTAAAGATAAAGCAGTTTCCCCTTACCTTTGGAATTCAGATCTCACCACATAAAGAAAGGAAAGGCTATAAGAGGATACTTACACAGGTACACTCAGAGCTTTGACTGGGGAGAGACCATCATACATGTGATGTAAGCGGAGGTGCAGTCACAGGTAAACACGCATGTGGGAAAATGCAAACTCACATGAGAATGAACCAAAGTCCTTTTGCTTTGCAGAACCACCTGTGTGACATCCAGAGGATCCTGAGCCTCAATAAACCACAGTTGTAGCTCAATATTGGAAAAGGTGTCAAAGGCACATTATTGTTTTCCCTGTCTGATCATGCCTCTTCCCTGTTTTAACTTTTTTTTTTTTTTGGAGAGATTTTCACTGTAGGGCGCATGCGCTTGCCAGACAGACAGAGAGAGACATAGAGACAGAAAGCGAGAAATCACCCCCCAGGGGGGATGGTCATGCCGCAATCCCTTCTCCTCCATTCTCCTCTCGGGATCTTGGGCATGCACATACACGCGCCCGGCGTGAGTTTTAAGCCACCGGGTCCCGGACACGAACCGCGGTCGACTATGTGGGAGTCCAGCGACATAGCCATTACGCTAACTGCTGGTTCCCAACTTTTCTTTAATGTTTTCCCAAATAAAACTTTTGCCCTCTTGTCTCTCTGTCAGTGTTAGTTTACTGAGGGAAACATCCCCAGCACACAGGATGCACATAGCTGAAAACCAGGCAGACACAATGGTGCTGGAGCAGAGCTTGGTTGCCATTTGGGGTGGTCTTGACTGACTGGGGAAGGAGGGAGCATTCTGGAGTGTTGGAAGTTTCTAGATAGGGGTGTGGTGGTGCTACATCACCCTAGAAGTAAGTGCTGAGCCTGTTGATTTCTGTGGTACCTTGAGAGAGAGAGTTCTCTGTCTCATCAGGTGGCTGACTTCTCCTGGTGTCAAGTAAAGGATGGACCTGCAGTGGACCTCGGAGGACAAGGTGAAGCTTCACCATAGCCAGGCTCTGTTCATGCACTCTCCCTTCTGTGCCAGTTGCCCCAAATGAGCACCCAGTCTATGGGCCTGTCCATACCGTTTACTCACATTAATGTTTGAGTGATGAGAACATGAGAATACAGAAGACCAGATTCCATACGTCCATGTCTCGACCCTCTCCAGATGTCCTGGGGTTGCTGCGGAAAAGGTGGGGGAGGTCTAGGGGCTGGGGCTGGGAGTTTGGAGGAAATGGGGTGAGTCTTACTCGAGGATGGGAAAGGGCTGGTGCATAGCAAGAAGGGGTGTATTGGGCACCTGGAAAGAAGTGGAGAAAGGTACTTGGGGAAAGTACTGGAATCAAAGTCCCAGAGTTTGGCAGGAGAGTTCAGGGGCAGTTCAGTGTGAGAATAGGTCAGCAGACTAGCAGGACACAAGGAATAGATGAGTGGGACTCAGGATCATGTAGTTGGAGGTAGCTTAGCTTTCCCCCAAGTGTTCTCCTGTTTGCTTTCTGCAATAGCAACTCAGAGGCTTTAAACTCCTTCTCAAGAATCAGATGCCCTTGCTGCTAATGCGTCACAATGGACAGTTCCCCCATCCCCTTTCTGTGCATGAGCCCCTTCCCCACATAAATTACCCACATGCCATTTAGATGAAAAATCCTCTCTATGTATCCTGTAGCAAATTAAAAATAGTAATAATAATAATAAATGAAAGCAAATAATTCTTTAAAAATGTTAGGGAAAAAAGGAAAGTCTTCTCTATTCAGGCAGAGAAAAGGGTCAGGGTGACTTAGATTTGCAAGGGGGTCATGAGAAAGAGTAAATTAGACCTGAAGACTCCAGAGGGAGAAAAGGCTACAGAGAGCTTTGCCCATGTTCAGTTTTGCAAGGAGTAGGATGGGGGTAGGGCAGGGACTGCTCAGAAGATAGGCCTAGCCAAGGGATTCTGTTCACAGCCCAACCTCCCCGGCTGCATGGTCACTTAATGCAGTGACAGTGATAACAATACTGTATGAGATCTTGACAGTGTCATTAATGGGATAGAGAGTACTAACTCATCCTGACACTGGAAAGGAGGCTGGGGGAAACTGCTCTCTTCCCTTAACCTCGAGCTCTGCTAAGCCCCATGCAGTACCCCTAAGAGCAAATGCAACTTGATAAGATCCCAGTCCCAAACCTTTGCCTTGGACCCCATATCCACCCTACTCTGGCTACTGTCTATTATCCCATGCTCTCCGGCACTGCTCTCTGAAAGGCTCTGGAAAGGGTATATGTTTAGCACTGGGATTGGAACACAGAAAACACCCCCCTTCAATGAGTTAAGTTAGTGCAGGTCATGACAGGGTCTATTCTGTCTGTCTGCACTTAAACCAGAGCAATGGAGAGCCAAGGCTGTGTGGCTGTGTTATAGGCTGGCTGGCTGAGTGCGGGCTGAATGTTTTCCTTTGCATCTTCTGCATCTATGTCTGAGTTCTGTGTCTGTGAGCAGTCAGTCATGTGCACAAATTTGTGCTGTGTATCTGAGTGTCTCTGTGTTTCTCTGCCTACATAAACATCTCTTTGGATCCCTGAACAAGTATATGTAAGTTGTAAAATCTATGTGTCTGTGGCTATAATTGTGTTATGGGTATGCTGAGAATTAAATCAGTAATGGAAAGTAATGACTTAGTGATTCATATGATAATATGAATAATTTCAGAAACATTAAGCAGAAAAGAATAAAGCAGACTCAAAAGAAGTACATATTGGCATGCATGCATCCATTTCTGCAAAATCTAGAGTAGACAAAATTACCCTAAGATGACAGCAAGGATTCACTGGAATAAATGAGGTCATTTTCTGGGGTTATTGAATAGTGTACATTTTGAAAGGGTAGTGGTATTAGAATTTTTCAAGTAGTGAACCCATATGCATGAAGGAAGTCCCAAATCTGAGAGGACTTTCTTCTAATGTTTATAGATTCCAAGGAACACACCCACAGGTCCAGTATGGTAAGACATGAGTCTATTTAGTTATATAATGTAGACAGAGAGCTTCACTGATAGCCAGATGGAGAATGTTCCTCACCATCAGGGAGGACAGGCTAAGGTTGCATATGTTAAGAATAATGCATTCATACATGAATTAATGACCAATGCAGGTTCAAGTCAATAAGACAGGAACTAGTGTGTGTGTGTGTGTGTGTGTGTGTGTGTGTGTGTATAAAAGTTAAGCTTCTCAATTAACAGAATAAGAGAGTATGTTCAGGGTTTAGTGCCTGTAATCTTGTGATGTTAATGTGGGAGGGGATTGCATACCTCTGGGATAGTGCTGGCCATGCACTGGTTTCATGAGGTGAAGGTTGTAATCATGGGTTCTTCACAAGCCCCAGCTATACCCTGATGCTTGGTCTCAAGGAAGGCAGAATAGTAAGGTATGGGGAAGGGAATTCAATGCCTATTCTTAAGTCCATCCCAACATTGACTCTCATAGCACCCTTACAGTCTTTGAGAGTCATTGATCTTCCACCAGTTCCTTGGAGCAGGTGTGTGAGTCAAACATTGCATTCATATTCTACAAGTGCCATCAAGAATACATGTTCCAAATAACAGTAAAAACATTACCACATGATTAGAAAATTATTTCCTTCAAAGCTCCTAAGGGGGAAACCAAACCAAGCAGAAGGAAAGCCCATTCACTCTGGTTGGCCAGGCACATTCTCCAAGGTATTTCAGCCATAGCTGACAATGGGAAGGTGGAGCACAGCCAATGTGCAGACTTGTGTACTTGTGCCAGGATGCCAGCCCAGTGCAGGAACGCCTTTCCTATACCAAGGTTTAATGACAGGGCAAGTGTTTTAGTGGTACATTCAAAGGGAAATCTCCATTGCCAGGGAATATGCATGCAATAGTCCTCTCTTGGAACAATAAAGTAACACTCTGGAGATGCCTCCCTGGCTTTCTATACCATGCCTGGTCAGACCCAGGGGCACTTTGAAAAGTGAGGGGAGGGGTCCTCAACTGCCACATGGTGATTATCACTGTGCCCTTTGGAACTGTATCTGGGCCAGTGTTGTGGCATTTTATAGTATTAGTCCACTTACCCACAATTTGGGAGCCTATGTCAAGGTTGTGTATTAGTCCCTCAGCATGGGGATAAGAGAGCACTACAATGCAGTTCAGATTGAACTTCCCAGGGAATGCTAATGTGTCTTCAGAGCTCCCTTTAGCATCTGGCATTCTATGAAACAAGCTATCATAGGATTATAAGGGAGGTGAAAATGTACATCTATAAGCCTTTGTTCAGCCCATTGTGAAGTGCACTCCTAGATGTGCATGAATATCAACACTAAAGATTAGCTAAATCAACAACACAAAAGTCAGTGACTCACGTAGACCTAGTGTTCCTGTAAAGAAAGTTCACCCAAAAGTCAATAAAAAGTTCTTCTTACTTTGATTGTGTTCCATCTGTAACCATCAATTGCAGTTAAGATCTCTCAAATTTATTAGGGTTACTATAAACAAGTATACATTTGGCCCTGTATCAACTATGGCAAGAACTTTCTGCACCTTTGTAGATGATTAATGTGTATTGCAAGGTCCACGTGTGGCCTCCAATCCAGGAAAGAGGCTCATGTGCACCCTGGAACTCGGCTTCCCCTCTATGCTGTCAACCAGTTCCAACAAGGTGGACTTGTCTCCTCAGCACTGGGAACAGGAAAGTCTTTTTTTTACCTATTTATTTTTAATTTCATTTTCTTTTATACAGTCAATCACATTATTTAGCTTACAAAGTGAATATTTCAACATGTGAACATTTCTCC